AAAGGATAGAAATATCTTTTGTCCTTTTCTCTATCATGTAAAAGCTTAATATTTACGATTAGAGATTTCATTCTGCTTAGGCATATATATATATATATATATATATATATATATTTCTTTGGTCGTTATTCTGAATTCTCGAGTTTATTAAAACCGTTTGTAAAAAAAAATGTATGAAAATATCTGATAAATTTATATTCTATTTTATTTATATATACCTATTATATATAAGAAAATGAAAAATGAATCTTAAATATCAATTTAAAATTTATATTTTTAACGAGTTGTATATTATTTTTTTTTTTTAAACATATTTTCTTTTCGTGGGCAAACATATACTAACAATATGCTGAATTAAAAAACTGAACGTCAGATTTATACGAAGTGTACTGCAGTTTATTTACTAACGACCCAAAGTGCTCATTGTTTTCCTCAGGTTACGAAAAACCCCTCATTACTTAGAATTTCCTGTCTACGTGTACTTTTATTTTTTCGTCATGGATATACAAAAGAGGATATTCTAAAGGGATGTTTGGCGAAATTATTTTACCGTTCTCAATGTTTTCTACCATAAATAAAAAATTGTAATTACTCGCTCTAATTATATGAATTTCTTTGTATTCTTTCATATTCTTACATTTCTCATTTTTCTCAATTTACATGTATTACAATAATGATTTTTATTCTCTTTTTTTTCTTTCTATTAACATAAATAATTTCGTAAAAATAATACTACAATTTTTATATTCCGATTTTTATGATGTTTTTTAAAATAAAATAAATGGCCTATAAAAAAAATATAAATATTATAATGTTTGTGTTTAAAAAATTATATATTAATAATTGTTACATACGATATTTTTAAATTGTTTTTTTAGTAATATATAGTATGAAAAGTATAAATGTATATTACACCAAAAAAGAGACAGATTGTCCAAAAAGCTAGAAAATTAAATTAGTAGTAAAAGAAAACCCGATGTTTTAAAAGCTTTTAGAATTAAAAGGTTAATTTAACTTTGAAATTAGGTCTCTCTGAACATTGCAAAAGTTAAAAATTGAGCGTCTGCAATTTAGAAGCATTCAACTCGGGGGACATTTTCAACATAGTGAAAGCATTTGAAACATTTTATACGGCATTCACATAATTATTTTCTTTTTTAAATATGATTTTTTATAAAATAAAGAAATAAAATTATTTTTAAATAATATATGTTAAATTACAATATGGTATAAATCAAAACTTGGTGAAAATTAAAAATATTTAAGACGTTTACGTTTTTGATTGGCTAATAAAAATTTCCGGTAATATTACCAGCTAATCAAACATGCAGGACTGTTTTTGATAAGTCGCTACCCAACCCTGCCAGCTTGCAATATTTTTAGTAAATATGGGTCTTCCCCCGCGTGCTTTAAATTTTAAATATACTAAATTTTGACGAAGCTGAAGTACGCAACGTTTATGATAAACGATTTTTAAAGAAATAATTTTTTAAAATGAAAAATTCTATAATTTTTTGCCTATAAAAAATATTTCTTGTAGTTTTTATTAATCAACAAATTATAAAAAAATGTCAAAAAATTACAGAATTTTTCATTTTTAAAAATTATTTCTTTAAAAATCGTTTATCATAAATGTTGCATACTTCAACTTCGTAAATTTTGTGGTTATATTATGTTTTATTGTACAATATACAAACTTTGTGATTTTACAGTCACATGTAATTGTAAAACGTCAGGCGTAGGAAATTTTGTCCGATCACTGCGTATGGACAAAATTGACCAATATTTCCTATGTCGGACATTGTAGAATTACATGCGACAATAAAATCACAAAGTGTAAATATTGTAAAATAAAAATGTTTTAAATTTACAATTTATGATTGAATACGGTAGCTTTTTATGTAGTATTTCGCCTAATTTAGAGGTTATGTTTGCCATTCATAACCCAGTGGGGCCTCTTATGATCCGACGACCTTGGATTTTAAGATTATGTTCGTTATTGACTATAACCTCAAACCTTACAGCCTATTGACTTATATCACCTTGAATTTTAAGGTTATGTTTTAAAGAATTGTATTAAATATTTTTTAAACGAATTTTCATTTTTCGAATTGACATTTAACAGAATTTATTTTTGAATTATTTTTTTTCTCCCTTTATCAACATTTTATTTTAAAAATTTTAATTTAACCGAATTTAGCAAAATTCTCATTAGACAGAATCTTAAGTGATTTGAATTTGTCAATAACAGAATTTAAAATTCACCTAAACTTATTTGCACGAATTGTTATTTCATGTAGAATTCTTAAAGCGTCGAATTTCCATTTGTCCGAAACACAAAAAAAAATTTTTTTAAATTAGTGCCTAAATCTTTCCTGTTGATTATTGTTTCAAATAAAATTCGATACCTAAAAATTTTGTTAAGTAAAAATACATTTAAAAAGAAATTCTGTCAAATGAAAATTCGTTTAGAAAATAATTATATATGTAATAAAATTCTTTAAAAGAAAAATTCTAACCATTGATTTTTATGGGAAATTCATGCACCCTGAGAAGTTAAATCAATAAATAATAAGAAGAATTGTCTGAAACGGAGGATTCGAGATGTGTAATGTATATTTTATGATGATTCCTAAATGTGCGAGAGAATATACCCGAAATGGAACAATAATGTCTATACATATATATATAGTATATGGAATTGAAAGATGAGACATTGAATCAAAGTCAGTTCATTTCATCTGGAAGTGAATATACGGAGTATCGGAGTTTCCTTTGGCGTGATGTAATCTCGGTGACATAAATAGGTGTAAAATAGAGAGGCGATCCTGTGCGCATTCGAATAAGGGCGTGAAAATCAAAGAAATAATAGGTCGCTATACGGTGAGAAAGCGTAAATACCCCCTACGTTCTTTCGGTCGGCCTACATTCGCTTTGTCAATAAACTCTCCACGTTGGTTTTCACAAATGCCTAGCTTTCTCACTTAGTGTTTGCAAATCGTGACATTTCCTGTATGCATTTATAGAAACTTTCTATACCTTGTCATTTTCCTTGACAGTTACTGGGATTATGTGTGTGTCGCTGTGTGTAAACGCTGGTTTCACATAACGAACGCACACGCGTCGCTTACCTCCATATATATATATATACAATATTTTTTCATCTGTATATAAATATGTTTTTTTTATATTTCACACACCGTGAGAGGAATTAAAATTTTTTTTCTAAACTATTCTGCTTATTAATTCAATAATTACTTTCATTTTCATATTGAAATTCATGTTCCTGTGCAGAAATTTGTCGTGGCCTTTCTACTGTTGAGACGCATGAATAATTCCTAAAATTAATTTGATAGAATTTTATTAGATAGAATTTTATTTTAGCCGAATTATTTTTTAATAAAATTTACTTTAAACAGAATTTTTATATAAGTGAACATTTACTTCACAGAATTTCTATTTGATCATCAAAATGATCGAATTTTGATTTGTAAGAATTTTCGTTCAACAGAATAGCCATTTAAGGGTATGTGGGAACCTCCCACGTGACCTGCTAGTATGGGAATATGTGTTTTGACGTTTCACTCTAAAATGAGAAAAGATTTTTGTCTAAAATTTTGAGGGATGATAGATTAGGGTATAAGGAATCTCATTGTTCTCCGAAAAATACATAATTTTGAGTTAAATTATTAAAAACTGATGTTTAAAAAGTTTAATTTTTAAACGAAAATGACAACAAAGATGGCGGCGCATACACAGACGTTGCTTGAGTGTGTCAGTGCTCCAGTAATGTATCGAAAAAAGCTACCATTCCCTGCAAAGTTTTCACAATTCGGATGTTCCACGGATTACTTTTTACTTTTTGTCAATTGTCAATAAGAATTTGACATGATTTTTAACCTAAAAAATTATTTTTCTTGTTTCGTTATAATGTGTTAATGAAACATATTTTATCATCAAAAATATATTATTATTATTTAATTATAAATATATTTGACTATTCGTGCGTCTCTATTTTATTTTACAGAACGTTTATTTGTCCGAATAAATATCTGACAAAAAAATTTTGTGCACAAATTTTCTGAAAAATATTTATTCGGACAAATGAAAGTTCTGTAAAATATAAATTCGGCGTTTTAACAATTCTGTAATATAGAAATTTGGTTAAATGGAATTTCTGTTAAATAATCATTCGAACAATTAAAAATCCAATTAAAAGTAAATTGTAAATAATAAAATTTTGTTAAATAAAGATTCTAACAAATTACTTTTAGAGTTTATTCATGCGTCTCATCAGTATTTTCATAAATTTAATTACCATTTAACAAAATTTCCAAATAACAAAACTTTTATTAAAGAACATTTTTATTCCAACTAATTTTTATTTAGTTTCACCGAAACTCCATTTGACCGAACTTTTACTTCTCCAAATTGTCATTTAATAGAACTGTTAAAAGGTCGAATTTACGTTCACATATCACCTCCATGAAGTTGGCGTCGACACTCAGCGCAGAAAATTGTTTTTCACAGGACCAAATGTATCAAATTATTTTTTTTTAAAGTTTTTAATCCAAATAATGCCTTGAGAAATATTTTTAAAGATATTATGTGGTCCCAAAATTTTTTTAAAAATAATTTGGTATTTTAGCCCCGTGAAAAATAAATTTCGGCACTGAGCGTCGACGCCAGCTTCATGGAGGTCACATATCTGATCATATACACCCAAAATATTTCAGCGGGAGTTTTAAAATCCACCAATCATAATTTTATTGATAATTTTTATTGGTAGATTTTAAAACTCCCGCTGAAATATTTCGGAGAGATGTATGAACGGATATGTGAACGTTTAATCAAATTCGACTAACCACTCGCAGACTAAAATTCAAAGGTTTCAGTGTCAAAATAAAAATTTGCTCTTGATTTAATAAAAAATAATTTATTAAGTAAATTGTAGATTAATTAATATTATATATTATTAATATTTAAATTATTTGTTTTAGTTTGCAACTTCGTGGTGCACGACCGCTGTCTCAAGGCCGTCGTCTCTCCCTGCTCCAGCATCGCGGCAAGCCTGATAAAAGTACGTATAAAAGTTATAATTACATCATCAGATTAAAAGTTACATGGTTGTGAAATTCATATTTATGATTAATTATAAAAAAAACAATAGACCTTTTCATGCTGATCATTTTGTCCTCTTCCAACTCATGCGTCATTGTATGCGCTAGATAAGGACAGAACGATCAGAATGAAAAGGTCTATTTATTTGAGACAAAAAATTATTTGCAAAAATTTTTATTTATAACTTGTTCATCCTATTCTTCAATAAATATTGCAAGGAACAATTTTTTGACAAAAATTTCATAGAATTTTTCATTTAAGACCATGTGGGAAATTCTCACGTGACCTACTATGAGAAAATGTGTTTTGCAAAAAAATAAATTTTCTTTAACCCGGCGAGACTAAGGTTCAATTTTGTAACACCGTGACTAAGGTAGGGTAAATTTTACCCTATAATGATTTTCTGTTTCTATATTTAAGAAAAGCTTAAAATCATGGAAATTTTTTAACAAATTTGTTTTATATTGTCTAGTAATGTAATTTATTAGTGTCACAACAAAATTTGCATTTATATAAAAATCGCAGTAAAATTCAGCATTCCTAGTTCAAACTATCGAGGAATAAAAGTTTCATAGGGTAAAATTTACCCTACTTTAGTCACGGCGGGTTAAAATCAGAAAAGATTTTGGACTAAACTTTTCAGGGTTGATAGAGAAGGTTACAAATCACATCGTTGTTCTCCTGAAAAAAATAATTTTTAAGAACTAAGTTTAAAAACTGACAAAAAATATGGTGGCGAATACACAGACGTCGCGTTAGTGTGTCAATGGTCCAGGGGGAGCGCCACTATGAACTAGTGGTCGATGGATGAACTAGGAAAAATCACAAGCCCGGAATGCAAAACCAAAAATAATGAGAGTGAAAAGGATATCTATATCTTTCTTTCTCTTTTGCACTCATGGTTTTCTGCTTTGCTTTCTGCATTCGCACCATAAAGGCCTAAGCACAATAGCAACGTAACCGGAATCGTAATTGCAATCGCAAACGGAAGAATTAGTAAGAGAAGAACAACAATATATGACTATCCTTCTCTAACTCATTCTTCCGTTTACGATTGCGATTGCGATTACGGTTACGTTTCTATTCTACTCAGGCCTTAATGGGACTGCGCCCTGATAGTGGGATAGTAAATTTCTTTATCAAAAATGTTAATCCCAAATCTTTTTTCATTTTAGAGAAATTTAGGAGTTCTAAAAACTCTTTCACATATTTTTTTAAAAAATATTTCTTTGAAAATCATTGATTATCAACGTTGTGAACTTTATTATTATGAATTACTTAAAAATTTTTAAAAAAATATATAATTTTTTCGATAACTGTCAAAAGTAAATTTATTTTAAAATAAAAATAATATACAAAGGAATTAAATTTAAATAAAAATAATAATTTTTGGTTATTACAGAACCCGGTTGCACACTGTTGGTCCGAACAGGTAACACATAGAAGAAAATTTTGTAACGTTTGTCGAAAAAGGCTCGATGATCATTCGACGTCAATACACTGTGAAAGTAAGTTTGAATTTTTACTTTTTTAAAAATAACAAATACATTAATAAAACAAATTTTTCGTTCCATTGAACTTTCAGAATTAGGAAGAACACATAATCAAAAGTAATAGCAACTACGTATTTTTTATTTTTAAGTCAAGAAGCAAGTTCTAATTAAAAAGTATTTTGCAGTGAAAGTGTAAAAAATTTTATTTTTGATACACAGTAAACTTGGTTGTATCTTTTTCTATTGCAACCTTTTGTTGCACATAAGTTATATCAAAAAGAGATCGTTTTGTGTATCATTTTTAGAAATGATAGACGAAACGGTCTCATTTTTTGATGCAAAAAATTGAATCAATTTATATCAATCATGGCCGAATTGAATCGACTCAAAATTAAACGAATTTTTTTCAGATATTTTGGTAATAGTACAATTGCGGAGACCATTTCACTATTTAATTTGAAAATGAAAATAACAGAAAATCAAAGACAATGTGCAATTCGATAATTAAAAAGTGACAGCTTAGAAACATAACCTAAAATGCATGAGAAAAAATTTGTCGATAAAATCAATATAGCCGAGCTTTTTAGAAGGTAGATGGCAGTTTTGTTTTTTATAAAAACGATTCAGAAAAAATTTAAAGAAAGAAAATAGATGAGTGCTGCCATCTACCTTCTAAAAAGCTCGGCTATATTGATTTTATCGACAAATTTTTTCTCATGCATTTTAGGTTATGTTTCTAAGCTGTCACTTTTTAATTATCGAATTGCACATTGTCTTTGATTTTCTGTTATTTTCATTTTCAAATTAAATAGTGAAATGGTCTCCGCAATTGTACTATTACCAAAATATCTGAAAAAAATTCGTTTAATTTTGAGTCGATTCAATTCGGCCATGATTTATATAAATTGATTAAATTTTTTGCATCAAAAAATGAGACCGTTTCGTGTATCATTTCTAAAAATGATACACAAAACGATCTCTTTTTGATATAACTTATGTGCATCAAAACGTTGCAAAGATTTGATGCAATTTTTGGTCTCAATTTGATACTTTTAGGAAAACTGTGTGGCAAAATACAGAATTACTTCTAAATTGCAGTATTGAACCAGTACTGAACGCCAGTACTAAGCCATTACTAATGACCAGTACTAATAAACGTTATCATCCCAAACATATGCCAGTATTGGTTCAATATTGGCGGTCAGTACTTTGCCAGTAATTGACAGTACTGGCGCAACTCTGTGCCGGTTGTAAATTTTTGCTTGGGTTATATTAATATAAAGAAAATTACATTTTTTTTTGTGTGTTTGTTCAATAATTATACAGAGTGATTTTTATGTTCCGCACCCCTTAAATTTTTTTTTAATTCCATAATTTTTTTTGTCATTTTTTAAACAAAAATAATGGAATTAAAAAAAAAATTAGGGGGTGCGGAACATAAAAATCATACTGTATATATATACTATACTATTGTGCATATTGAAAAAAGAAATTATAAAAAACAAAAACATTGTTTGGCTTACAGTTTGCGAGTACTTCGTTCACACAGATTGTCAGGATTTCGCGGTAGCAGATTGTAAGGAGAATGCAACGTATTTACCTGGGAAGGATTTGGTTTCAGTGAAGCATACGCATCACTGGCGCGAAGGCAATCTTCCCACTAATTCCAAATGCGCCATGTGTAAAAAGAGTTGTTTCTCCATTGAGTGCCTCGCTGGATTTCGTTGCGAATGGTGTGGAATGACGGTAAATAAATTATTCATTTATTTATCTTATTCATTATTTAAAGTAGCAATTTTTTTTATCCACAGTTATTTCAGAAAACATACCAAAAATTCATAATTAATAATGTAAAAAAAGAAAGAATTTGACGATGATGGTTTTCGAACTGGACCGGCATTTCTTGAATTTGAAGAAAGCAAATTGACGAATAAAATCGATTTCTGAATTCAGAAATTGTATTGGTCCAATTCGTAACACTTTTTAAATATGAAAATAAAGAAAATTAAGCTGTACAGGGCACTAAAAAGCAAATAAGAAATGTGATAATGCTTATACTAATGAAGGTGAAAAAAACTATAATTTGTCAAGTGATTTTGTCAATATTAAATAAAATAAGGAGTGTTAAAAATGTGACGTGATTCCAATTCAAAAAATGATGAAACTTAATTTCTCTCCAGTTTTTAAATCATTAAATACATTTTTTAACATATTGAATTTTAATTTATTTTATATTTACAATTAAAAATGTTAAAAACTTTTATATTCTTTATAACAAAAATTATGGGGAGGCACCACCTCCAATTTTAACCTATTTAAATTATTAAACAAATTTATATTTTTTTCTGACATCATTTGAGTCCTAAAAACATGCAGAATTGTAAAAAAAAATAAAATTTTAAGTTTTAATCATTTTAGAAATTAAAGTCTTAAAAAATTAATATTTTAAATATCTATCTTCTTTCACAATTTTGACTATTTTTCATCGCCAATTTTTTCTCACGCTTTTTTTTCAAAAAATACAAAATTCTAAAATTGACCACCTTATATGTTTTTAGAACCCAAATGATGCAAGAAAAAAATATATAATCTCATTTAATAATTTAAATTTAAGTTGGTCAAAATTGGGGGTGATGCCTCCCTTTAATCTAAAAGATATTTAACCAGAAAAAATACCATAAATTTTTGAAAAAAATATTTATTAATATTATTCTATTAAAATTTTCTAATTTCAAAAAGAGATCTATTTAATCAAAGTTTTTCTATGACATTAAAATTTTATTTTTTGTCATTGGTTACAATTAAAATTTTTTCCATATTTTGAAAATACAACTGTGTTAAAAAAAAAAAATGTCAAGTAATTAAATGTTACATTTTATAAATATTATTTTGAAAAATAATTCTTTTTGTTTTTCTGCAGATGAACAATTATTATTTTAATAATTAAAATTATATTTGATCGAAAATGAAATATCATTTTAATTATTATTAAAGTACAATCGAGTGATGAATTGGAAAGTTATAATTATTATTTTATATGAATGTGAATTAATATTGTATAACAAATATTTTTCCATTTACCTTCATTTATATATGTATATATGTATATATATATATATATATATATATATATATATATATATATATATATATATATATATATATATATATATATATATATATGTATATATGTATATATATATATATATATATATATATATATATATATATATATATATATATAACATTTTGATATAAATAATAAAAAAAAAATGATTTAAAAAATTTTTTTGGACAAATTATTTAATAAAAAAATATTATCAAACGCATTTTAAAACTTTTTGCAAAATCTTCTTAATATTTCCATGTCAGTATTAATAAAAAAAAATGTTTAAACTACCCGAAAGAAAAAAAAAATATTAAACTACGTGGAATTATATTGTATCTAAAAAATTCTATTATAATCATAAATTAATTATATATTTTTGGAAAATAACAAAAATAATAAAAAACCAATAATAATAATTATTAAATAAATTGCTAGAATAAAATGATTTAAAAAATTTTCCTTTTTCTTAACTATATTGTTAAAAAAGATTGAAAATTTAATTTTTATTTGTAAAAAGCTTGTTTGTTTACATTTTTAATGCACAAATTTCTTTCATTCAAAGAAAATTTTTTTGAATCAAAGAAATTTTCTTTAAAACTAAAAAGCTTTTTTTGTTTCAAAGAAAAATTTATTTTGAATGAAAGAAAACAAGTCAAAGAAACTGGTTTCTTTAAATCAAAGAAATTTTTTCTCTGGGTGGCACTTATCACATATATATATATATAAAATTAACAATAAAATAATAATTTTTCATCTGCAACAAGACAAAAATTATGTACCTATATTTTAAATATAAAAAGTTCTAATTTTTATAATATTCAATTAATTACATCAATAATAAAAATTTTTTTAAATTTAGAAAATTTTTTAAAAATTGTAATAACAAAACAAAATGAAATATAAACATTAGTATCGTGAAAGTCATGTAGTGAAGACAATAATTTTTAACAAGAATTTTTCTTCCCCTTTAGATTTATATCTAAGAATATTCTGTATTATGACATTTTTTGTATAGTTTTATCTGTGACTGTGTGACGTTTTTATGTTTTTACATATTTTTTTTATCTATAATTTAAAATTGTATAGATAATATCCTATTCAGGTAACAAAAATTTAAATTTTACAATATAGTGCAACTTTTTTATTATATGCATTAAACTATTTTCTTATTTATATGGAAAAGAATTTTTATTTTCTTCTACAGATTAATAATTTACATATGCAAATATATAGTAGAAACAAGAAACATTGTTTAGCATCATTGTTTTTTAATTATATAATTGGTATGACATTTTTATTTATTTTATTCGTTATACATATCTATGTATTTTTATTTTTTAATTATTTATAATTTTTGTTTTCATATATGTAAAGAAATGTTTTTTTTTTAAGTTTCCGAAGAGAATGTAATATTTTTGTCGAAAGAAGCTGAAGTACGCAACGTTTATGATAAACGATTTTTAAAGAAATAACTTTTTAAAATGAAAAACTCTATAATTTTTTGTCTAAAAAATATTTTTTTTATAATTTATTGATTAATAAAAACTACAAGAAATATTTTTTAGGCAAAAAATTATAGAATTTTTTATTTTAAAAAATTATTTCTTTAAAAATCGTTTATCATAAACGTTGCGTACTTCAGCTTCGTTTTGTCGAAACGGCTTTAAATTTATACATTATAAATAAATAATAAAAAGTCGTTTAGGACAAAACAATAAAATATATTTTTTTATTAATATTTGCAATCGAGTGTAATATTAATTTTTTTTCATAATCTTTTTTATTGAGTATATTCACTTTTTCTCTTTTGATAATAATATATTTTTCATTTTACCTCATTTGCTTGAAAATTTCATATATATATATATATATATATAAAATTATGCATATATTCATCAGAGAGGTTTCCCGAGTTGAGTAGATTTTAAGAACAAAAAACGATAAAAAAAGAAAAAAAAATTTTTTTTTCTCTTTCGGAATTGAAGAAGAAAGTGCAATTCTAAATTTTTTAACAATCCATTTATATTTTACGAATTTTATACGCCAAGTATGTGAAATGATATATAACTTCTGGAAGCCGTTCTACTTTTCTTTTTAAAGTGTTTTCAGTTAAGGTACCTATATATACATATATAGGTACTCAAAAGTTTAAAAATTTTCATTTATACCATTTATTTGCAATTGTTTCCTATATTTCATTTTTAATACTTTTTCACACAATAGCTGGCGCAAGAAATAAAGAAAGCAGTGAAAATAAAAATTCTACTCAGGCCATTGTATCTCCAACTAAAAATTTCAAAAAAAAAAAAAAATTCTGAATTAAAAATTTTGCAATAATTTTATTTTATTGATATCATTTGAGCATTGATTCTAGTAAAAAAAATTTCCTGCTTTTTTTTTAACGGGAAAAAACGAAACTGAAGTACGCAACGTTTATGATAAACGATTTTTAAGGAAATAATTTTTTAAAATGAAAATTTTTATAAATTTTTGCCTAAAAAATATTTTTTTATAATTTGTTGATTAATAAAAACTACAAGAAATTTTTTTTTGGCAAAAAATTATAGAATTTTTCATTTTAAAAAATTATTTCTTTAAAAATCGTTTATCATGAACGTTGCGTACTTCAGCTTTGTGGAAAAAATTATTATTAAAACTAAAGATACTTTTAAAAATTTTTAACGAAGGAAAATTTTCTTCAGATGTAAATTCAGTTAATAATTGAGCAAAAAATAGTTTTTATTATAAACAAAACGAGTTTCTACAAAATATGAAATAGGATTCATGTCACTGATTAAAATAAATATACTTTAATTAAATTTATTTTAATTGAACCAATTATATATATATATCTACGGAATACATATATAATTTTATTAAACTTGCTTAATTGGTGTAGAAAATAAAATTAATTACAAATGCATTTAATTGGATTTATTATATCAAAAAGAGAGTTTGTTGTAATTTTTATTAAAATGCAACAAATATTTTTAAAAAATTAAATTATTTACATTTATACTTTTAATATAGATTTTTATTATTATTATTATTATTATTATTATTATTATTATTATTATTTAAAGATAAGAAAATATAAAGTTTTCTTTATATGAAAATTCGTTGAAAATAGCAAAATTTAAATTTAAGACAATTATTTATAATTTTCTTTTTAATATGTGATGCGAATGTAAAAAAAAAAAAAAAAAAAATTAATTTTTTTCCTGTTTTAGTCGCATGCCGGTTGTCATAAAAATATTCGTGAAGAATGTACTTTCGGAAGTTTAGAGAAGATCTATTTGCCACCACATGCGATCAGTATTCCACGAACCGAAGTACCAATGGAGGCAATCATTGGAGTTCAAGTGAGACGAAAAGAAAACATCACTCGTGAGTATTCATGTCGTAAGTGTCTCTTCAATTTTTTATTATACTTAATTATAAATCTCACAATATACAATGTAGATATTATATATAAACACTGAGAAATCAATTTTAAAGTACTTTTATTATATTTAATTAAAATTTTTATCCATATTAATATTTAATAATATTATTGAAATTCTTTATAAGGAGAAATGGTATACGCATTATAAAAATGTTGAGAATTTCTTGCAATTTTGAAAAATTACTTTTATATTTGAAAAAAGATCAAATTTTTTGACTGTACAGATTAAAATTATATGTAAAAGCTTAAAATAAAAAAAAAAATTATTTTTCCTAAATGTACCAAATTTTTTTGCCAGAACACCATTTCTCTTTTTAAATTTGAAAATTTAAAAACTACCAAAAACAGAAAATAAAAAAAGAAAAATTGAAATCGAATAAAATCAGAGTATTTAAAAATTGAAAACTTAGTTTTATTTTTAAGAACCGAGAATCGTTTGAAAACTTTTATGAAAATAATTTAAAGTTACCTCAAGTACTGAAAAAAAAAAATTCATATAACGCAATTGTTCAATTAAAAATATGATTCATTTTGAAAAATTTAATTATAAAAATATTATTTTCATATATACGACTTGCATTATATATCGACCCATTTTTGCTTTTTCATATAGAGTAGAATTTATTTTACCAGGACAAAAACTGTATTCTTTATAAGTGTCCTGACGCGGTGAAAGGGACCTTACGGTTCCAAAGCAAATTTCACAGGAGAGGCGCTCGAAGTGTAGCACGAAAATAGACATTTGAGTAGTGGGGACGTACAACTGCAAATCAGCACCACTGCTCACCACTACAACGCTACACTCATATGTCTGTGAGCATGCTACCTTCGTGCATCTTCGGCTCTACCATATCTTGTACCTCCCTACTCTTTCTAAGCTCTGATGTAAACATTGCCCTGGGCCCGGCAAATGGATTCATTTTCTATTAAAGTTAATCGATTAATTTTGATTGACAAAATAATACGTAAATAACTTGAAATATCTTGTTCGGATTTGTCGGATTAATTAGATGAGGGCGAGCTGATTAAGAAGCATCTCCATTTTTAAAAGTAATTTTGTGGTTATAAAAGTTGGATTTTTGACAGAAGTGGGGACAGACATTGAATCTATGTGTCAGTGGCCCAGAAGGTGGCGCCAATTCTAGCTAGTGGCCGCTGCTGAACTAACTTACCCCAAATTACTCCACTTTAAATCTTTAATAAAATAATTTCCTCACAATATTATTGCAAAAATAATATTCCTCTATTATTCCTCCAAATGCCAACTCGAAATACTTTATCCTTTAAAGATGAGAAGAAATTTACGAAACCCTTTTTTGACAATGTTTAAACATTTTTTTAATAATTATTTATTAATTCTCTGAAAATCGTTGTTATCAAATAAAATTAATTTTTATTATTTATTTTATCAACAGAGAAATTTTCAATTTTTACTTTTCTTACAACAGTAAAAATAACATTACTTTTGCTGTATAAATAAGTTATATGTCTTGAATTTAAAATATAAATTATTATTATTATTATACATTATTAAAATAATGAAAATCTAATAAATTGTTTATTGCAATTTTACTGGCTTTAATATGAGATAAATCCATTTTCCGGGCCCAGCGCAATGTATACATCAGAGCTTAGAACTAGTGGGGAGAGACAAGAAATGGTAGAGCCGAAGATGCACGAAGGAAACACGCTCACCGATATACGAGGGTAGCGTCGTAGTGGTGAGCAGTGGTAGTGGTTTTGCAGTAGCCACGAGGCGCCCGAGAATACGCGGAAAAGTACTTATGTTTAAAGCTATATAACACAATAAGTATTTGAAGGAGACAAATTTTAATTGTTGGAAATGAAAAAGCAACTCAAAAACTATCGATTGGTATAAAAAAATAAAAATCGATTTATTTAATCATAAGGTCCCTTTCACCGCGTCAGGACACATAATGACAAAAAATAAATTTTATTTTTTTAGAAATTTGCAAATTATAATTTTTGTATATACATATGTAGATTTAATCCCTTTAATAAAGCTAGAATGACAAATTATTTTTCATGTAGTATATGTGTTTTCATAAAATATTTATAATTCACTTTTTTTTATCCTTCTTTTTTTGCGTTAAAATTCAAATTTCAAGTGAATAAGATATTGGTATATTGAAGTTGCAATTTGTGAGGAAAATAATTGAATTATTTTTTTTCTTTATAATTAAGAAAACTTTAATGGAAAAATTATAAACAGTTTTTGTGTAAAACCAAAAAATTTTAGTGCATTGATAAATAAATTTCAGAAAAATTTTTAAAAAAATTATTTTTCGTCAAATTTTGTTAAAAAATGAAAATTTTTTGTTTTTTATTTAATTAGACTTTTTTTGGGTGAAAGATCTATAGGAAAAAATCTCAGCTTTCATTTTACAAAAAAAAAAATTCTTTCACCCAAAAAATAGCAAATTTATTTTCATTTCAATTTTTTTCCAAAAATGCGTTTTACCGCAATCAAAAGAACGTCAAAAAAGCTATCGAAACTGAAATTTTTTTTATTCTATTATTAAAAAAATAAAATTATGTAAATGGTAGGGGAATAGTGTCAGGGTTGGACACAGTTTTGGTTTTTTGTTTATAAATATTTTGTTTAGATAAATTCAGTCAATTGTGGTATATGGGTGGAAAGATTTACAAAAGAGGAACACTTTTGCTGTGGACCGTAAATTGATTGGTCCAAAAGTAAAAAAGTTATAAACATTAAAAAAAAAATCTACTCAGGGTTGGACTTTTCAGTCAGGGTTGGAAACTTTTTGAAAATCGAAACGCATTATTGGTAAAAACGTAAAATAACATTTGTAATGTTTTTTATTCTTATTTTTTCATGTTTATCTTTACTTATTGATTACAAATTGTAAAGCTTCATGGATTTAAAAAAGGAATGAACTCAAATTACAAAAAATAACGCTTTATTGTTCCAAATAACTCAATGAAATGATGAACAAAATTTATACAATTTAAGTATTATTTTTCTAATATCTTTGGCACAATTTTGCACTGAAATATCAATAAAATAAAATTTATTTATAAATTGTGTCAAATTCATAATTAATATGGGTGTCTAACCCTAACTGTATAAAGTGTCCAACACTAACTAGAAGCATCATTTTCGAATTGTGCTAACCATAACCAGACATGTGTCGCGATTCGATTTTTCAGTTTTTTTCTTCTTAAATTATGTACCCCACAATATATTCAATAAGCTTACCTTGCCAAATTCTTGCTTTTTTTACACATTTTTTAGGTTTATTCACAAGTCAAACAAAACTTTTTTTGTCTCTTCGATTGCACCGAAGTCACAGGAGACGCTACTTTTGATTCTCCAAAAATGTAATGCCACAAAAAGTTAGGTTACACTACTAGAAGATTCGTCACGTACGCACACAGGTGGCGCTAGTGTTCTTATTTAAAAAAAGCCAAGTGTCCAACCCTGACACTATTCCCCTACTCCAAATCAAGTTTGAGTATGAAAAATTATTGAAATTGAAAATATTAGAATTTCAAAGAATTTTAGTGTCGAAAACAATTTTTGACTTTTATTGCCTTTATACCTGCTTTTACCTGCTATACCTGTTTAGATTGAAGTACAAAGGGTATATATCTAAAATTAGAGGTCATAACAATTTTTGAGATGGGAAATCCCAAAGATAATTAAATCAGTTGCAATTCGCGTGTATTATGATCTTTTCCGAGATCTTTTCAGACGTATATAGTCTTTGTGAGTGTAAATTTTGTAATTTTAAGCGTTGCTGAAGTTCATAACGTTTATATTATATAAATAACAATTTTTAAAGAAATATGTTTTTTGAATGAAAAATTATGAATTATTTTAGTCTCCAAAGATATTTTTTTTTTTTGCAATTTTTATTGATCAAAAAATTTAAAAAAATATTTTTTTTAGTTAATTTTCCGTCTCCTAAAATAATTTGTATTCTAATTGTTGCTCACAAACGTTGTTGATATTCAAACATCGTAATTTTAAAACAAAAATTTGGCTTTGTTAAAAAAACTTTTTTTTTTTTTTTAATTTTATTTCGGGAGTGTTCGAAATTCTTAAAATCGCAATCGCTTAAATCTTTAGAAAAAGTTTTTTAATTTAAAAACATAATTTATTGAAGTGTTTGAAATTTTTTAAATCGCGTGTGTTTACGACACATCTTATCATCCAAAGCAGATTCAGTTGTATAGACTAAGCGACTAAGGTTTGAAATATATTTTTTATAAATAATAATTACACACTGAAAGAAAAAATATCAAATTTCAATAAGTACAGTAGAAATTTTAGTAAATATTTTTAAATTTAGGGAAAACGTACGTCAAAATGTGAAATGTTGATATAAAAAATACTAAAGCTTCAGAAAAGAGTTTGTAGAATTATTAAAAATTTTATTAAAGTTAATAAATATTTACTACCAGTTGAAAAATATTTATTGAAAATTGAAATATATTTTGTTATAACTAAAAAATTTAAACATTAAATTAAATTAACATTTTTTACAAAAAAAAGTTAGTACTATTTTCAAGCTCGTGAAATTATTGTTTAAAAGAGCAAATTTTTTAAATTTTCTATCTCTATACACTGAACTAATTTTTATACAAACAATAGTTCATTTTGCTCTTTGAAAGATTCGTTACAATTTTACTGTTTTTTTTTTTTTAAAGTTTTGTTAATCAATTTTTTATTTAAAAAATTTTTGGAAAAGGAACACAAATTTTATTTGTTCAGTTACTTTTAAAAAAAGCATTTAATTTTTACAAACAAAATTTTAAAGAACCTTTCAAAGAGCAAAAGGAACTATTGTTTTTAAAAATTGGATAATAATTATAATTATTAACTTATTTTAATTTATAAAAAAAAACAGAAAGTTAAATAATTATTTATTATTTAATAACAAATTTTGGATGAAAATAATTATTTTTGTAT